ATATATTTGTTTATATCCATGAACTCCATGCCTGCATGATCGTCAACACAACCTTCTTGTGAAAGCATCTGGTCTGGAATACTATTGCAGGTTGATCGTGCCAGGGCGGAGCCACAAGCTTGAGATCTACTGGAGCCGGAAGACGATTGGTGTTCGGATGAAGAGTGGGGCCCAGGTTTGGAGCATGACGTTCTCAAACCTTAAGGTTGGCATCATCGTTGCCAATGAGATTGCCCCCCGGCCATGTTGTCTTGTGGGAAACTTGCAACTTGCACTGGTGGTGGAATCTGATTGGGTTTTACACACATCTATGAATGCCATGTGGGCATGTTGCTGAGGTCAATCTCTTGGAGAGGGATGTGAGCATCCATGGTGCGCTGATTCACGATTCCATCATGTCCTATCGTGCTGAGTTGGAAAAGAAGCACGAAGCTGTGTGGCCATGAGCTAAGCTCATGTGGGCCCTTTTGCTTTCAGGAAAGAGCTTGTCGGCTGCACCGTTCACAAAGTGTAGATCTTGCAGATTGCATTGGGTGTTGCACTGGATGATCTGCAGCTGACAAGCATGGACCTGCTTTTGTGGAGGACTGGCAATGCGCAGGGATACACTGTGTCTGTGGATAGATCCGTGTGGGAGGCTGGATGAGGCCAGCTCAGTTTTGGCAGAACATGCTGTGGGCTGAGCCTGTAGACCCAGCTGCTGTCCAGTGGTCTGTTTTGGTATGACCGACTGGTGTCACAGGATGGCCATAGACTGAACCTTACGTGCCACAGGGGCATCCTCCAGACATGTCAATCACTTCATGTGCGCATGAGAACAAAAAGCTGATGCTCATTAAATGCTGATAGCATCATTTTAGATGCATGTTTCGTGCTTGTGCAACTTCCTGCATATTCTACAGCTGCTCTCTGGGAATGATCGGCTGAGGTCATGTGCGATGCCTCGGGGGAGCAAGCGCCTGCAGAACTTGGCATCCCGGTCAGATGAAGGTCGGTTCGGTCTACTGCTAAACGAAAATGCTGCTATGTCTGTTTCTGTTGGAGGACATGTGCGGCGTGAGGCTCTTTCGACAGGCTCGGCATGTTTGGATTGTAAAGTCACCAGTGCTCTGCTTGCATCATGAGCCAATAGCTCAATAACGAACAAAACATGCCAAACCTTGGTAAAGCTATGAACTTACATAACAAGTGATCTCAAAACAGGACAGATGTTAATACAGTACATGATAGCAAAGTCTAGCATAATATATTAGATAATGTGGTGTACTTTATATTTAAGATTTGTGGAGCATATCCAAAAGGCTATGAAACAGTATGGAATAACACATCGTGGCATGGGCATGGTTCTACAGCTGCACTTAACAATCTATATATGTGCATGTGGACAGCATACCATATACATATGTATATATATATA